AGACTGACTAGGAACGAAGCTCGGCACGCCTACAGTTGGGGGAGATTTTGAGACATTGGACGTGGTCGTCGTAGACTCTAGAGGCCAATTGGGACTAGGGAGAATCGAGTCACAGTCGATGAGTCTCTGGTTGCTCTAAACTTAACTTCTGCCAGTAGCTCGTTGGCAGGGTGTGACTCAGTGAGATCTTGATTAGACCAGGAAGTTGCGTGTTCGAATCACAGCACTGTGAGATGTGCTAGGTTCTGATTAATTCCTTTTCGCTCGAGCATATCTTGACCCAATCTTGACCTTTCAGTCCTTCTCTCAGTAATCCCGAACCAATTTCAAACTCCAGCTCCGCATCGATTCGAAACTCGATCATAGGTTGAGTTGTCGGGACCAGAGGATGGAGGGCTCCCGGGCCAAGTGGTTGGTACATGTGCTGTAAGTGGTGAACCCAAGGATGAAATTGGACTCGGACAGTGCCTGATATATCTCGACCGCCTTGATTCCTTCACTCGCGAATTTGACAGTCAGCAGGTTCTTGTAACTCAGTGGTACTTATTGAAGTCTCAAAGACTAAAGTACTAAGGATACCCACCCACTGCCCAGTCCTGATTCCTCGCCCTCCTCTGAGTCCTCCCCTCGCATATTTACTTGTGAAATTTGAAGCGATAACCACTGGCAGAATGTAAAAAGTAGCTAAGATCAAGTCAGTCTCTCGGAGCTTGTAGAATTTCACAGCGGGTAATGTCAAAGCTGGACCTTTCAACCTGTTTTGGTACTTACATCCTCGTATAGTCAGTACTGTATCTATACGAAGGTTCGCGTTACCGTATCGCCCCAAAAATCTGACATTACCATGATCTTCTTTTCAATCAAGTTCAGGATTTTTCGAATTAATGACCGAGACATTGTATGGAATTATCTAGGGATAGTTAATAACAACCTCCGCATTACTGTATCCTTGAACGGCCACGGAAGCGCTAACGCCATCAGGTGTGTCGCTGACGCTTGACCAGACCGTCTCAGGTGCACCGCTGGTCACAGAAATATTAATGTCGTAGAACGTCGTTGATCCAGTAGGGTAATCCGCCGCAGTGGTGATACCATATGTCTCCAAAGTCTCAGTGGCCGTAAGGAGTACATCTGATCCATTGGCGGTAATTGAGGTTCCAGGAATGCCAGTAAATTCCGCGACATAATCGTATGAAGAGCCATTACTGCTGGCAAGTGTGACCACGCCAGTCAACTCTTGCCCAGGCGTGACCTCGACGAGGGAGCTGAAAAAGGTTGCACTTGTACCAACGTACCCTTAAACCCAATCAAATGAATACCAGACATGTCTAATGAAAAAATATGTAGAAAAAAGCTCACAAGAGGCGACCGCCCAGTAAGATCCACCTCCAGCAGCGGAAGGCCCGAATTGTAAAACCTTTTTTTTTACAGGAATAACATCATAACGGAAACCTCTTTGAGATATCAAGAAAAACCCACGGGCTGAAGGATCGCAGCGCTAGTGACTGGCTGAAGGGCGCTGAAGAGGAAGATGGTCTGGTTATGGTTTTCGGCGGGAACGGGTGGGACCTCCCACGTTGTGGTGAACGAGTCAATGACACTGTCTGTAACATTATTGAACCAGTAAGCAAAGGCAATCCATCCAGATTCCTCTGTGTCGGCAGCGCTAGTCGTACTTGTGGCCGCACTGGATCCAATCTTGGCGTTGTCGTTCGTGGCAACGTGAATGACTATGCCGGTTTCATCCAAAAGATGGATCTCACTAATTGAATGAGTGAGTTGCTGGCTAAAAAACACTGGGACTATAGACTCACGAGCCAACAAGCTTGACCGATCCGCCCTCCGGAACAGCGTGAACGTTCTCGATGAGACGTAAACCAGCAGGAGTTCGGACCATATTAGAGTCATCCACAGTGCGGGCCTCCTCGACAGGGACCGCATTCGTGAAAGGCAGGAGTAGAGCAGCAAGCAGGACATAGGCTTGGACAGATCTCATCGCTGTATGAATGTGTTAGAACAGAGACGCAGATACAATGGGCTTCTAGTGTCCGCTGTTGGCGCCGGAAGGTTTCTAACAAGGTGAACTTTTTATACTGTAGAGCCATTGAGTTCAAGGCGCTACACATAGTAAAGATAATTGAATGGACTACTTTGTCCTGTCTGTCAATATTATTTTGGGAATCTCACCACATGAAAGGAAGCCTAAAACTCAACTCTACTATGCAGTAACGGATGTCGATGGGATTGAAAAGAGACTCGGAAGGGCATGTATCGCCGACCCCTAAAGTTCCTTGAAGGAAATGCCATATGGTCTTCAAAGCGGTAATACAACACAGAACGATCTGAGGGGACGAGTATAATATGTGGAAATATAGAAATGAAACTGATTTTCGGCCTGCCTAAGCCGCACTGAGAGGCTGGTGGTGATCATGGTCCAGTCGATTGTAAATTTAATTGGGCGCTGAGCGCTGAGAGAATGTTTCAGAGCCCAAGTTGTCGTGCTGTGGGAGCGTTAGTACGGAACCGTAATTTTCATCGAAAACCCCATTATCTTAAATCAGGAGCATTAGCCACAGTCTTGTTTGGTCCCACTAGGAAAGGTCTGAGTAATCTCGGACTGGGTAGGTTTGGAGGAGTCTGGCAGCAGTGCGGAGGAGCCTATCGACAGCTCCCGCCAAGGGCAGTGAGCTCATAAACAGGCTGGGACCGAGCCTACGGAGGAGATAGAGGAGTGAGATGCGTCGTTGGATTGGATCATTATGTCCTGGAAGTTGACGGACTGTTAGACGTCGACGATACCAGAGCTGAGATGATTCGGAGCGTGGACGACAATGAATTTAGACTGGCGCGCGCGCAACTCGATTGTGAATCTTGGATCGGACCCATCCGAGTCTCTTTGTCTTCGTGCTCTCTTTGTCTAGTACTGCTCTTGCTCAAGAGCAGTGCCGAACTCTCAGGCAAGGTCATTGAGAGCAGACGAATATAGGGAACTATGAGTTGGGCATTGGCTGGTTGGGCTCCAGGTTTTCTTTGATATTCGGGTGGAAAAGGCACTCGTACGAATGAGTAAGGGGTATCCACCTGGCATCGTTCTCCTTCCATTCATGTTTCATCATGTTTCAACGGTATCGCGTAGGAGGATTGGGACTGCCAGTAGAAGCAATAAGCAAGAATAAACCGTTTAACGCTCATGTGGGCGCTCATTTGCACTTGGTCCACACTAGACTGACACATCTATTTCTCCCTTCACTTCTCAGCCAGCACAATCCGCCTGACAAGAGTGCCAACTCCAATTGTTATGGGAACTCGAAAACGGGAACTGAATGAAGACATTCTCCGAGAGTGCAAGTCGGAGGACCGAATAAAAAGAGGTGTTCAAGAGGTATATTTTTTAGTGTTCGTTCATTTACTTCGTTTGGTGTTTCGCTGGTATGATGTTTGGGGATGGGCTGCGATGGCTTCGATGCATGAGGTGAACGAACACGAGTAAGGTGAACGATTTTTAATTTGCTTTTTTCCCCATTGTTTTCCGTCTTCCTTCTGAAACTATGTAACGCCGCCTCTTCCCATCTCCTTCATTCCCTATCCATTCGCTCACCCACCATAGATAACGACACGGTGCAGTTCGGAGTCTCTAGAGTCTAGGATTGCCTCAAATGCGTCTATCTCCTCGTGTACTTCACCAGCATCATCAGTAGCAGTTCTATCCGGCTTCATTGGATTTGCTCCTGGTCCGAGAAAAAGTGCTCTGCTCCAATTTTGCATCAAATGGCGCGTAATAACGAGTCCTTTGACCCGCTGCACACACGCCTTCATCCTGCCTGCACCTATTGGTTCTCTGTCAAATTACTATTCATCCACTCGTTGTGATTATGGTGTTGGGTATGGTCATGGCCGCAGGAGAGGTTAGGGAGGAGGAATAGGTCCTATTGCGCACCTTGCTCCTATTGCCCGTCATGATGAACATCATCATCAGTCTTTGACTGATACTACGACTCCTACTGCTTCTCCCAAGCCAGCGGCTTCGGTAGTGCCAGCACCGACGCAAACGTCGTAGCCGGTCCATATTCAACGTCAACACAACACCTATCCGCCAGTGCAACTACTGCCACATTGGACTTGAACAACAACTCCCGCCCGCAAACCTCGTCGAACACGCTACCCAAGTTTCAACGGCGGTCATGATCCCTGGAGCTGGTAGTCGTGCCATTGTCTTACACATACCTGGATTTGGTCCCGGTCCGAGTAAAAGTGCCAATTTTGCTTCAAAAAGCGCGGACTAACGAGTCCTTCGACCCCACTGCACACTCGCCTTCATCCTACTTGCAACTACTGGTCCTCCGTTAAGTAATCCTCATCCACTCGTTGGGATTATGGTGTTGGGTATGGTTATGGCCGCAGGAGAGGTTAAGGAGGAGGAATAGGTCCTATTGCGCACCCTGCACCTATCGCCCGTCATAAATATTATCATCTCTGCTATATAATGGGTCTTCGACTACTACTACGACTCCTACTGCTTCTCCCAAGCCAGCGACTTTGGTGGTGCCAGCACCAACGCAAACGCCATAGCCGGTCCATGTTCAGCGTCAGCACAACATCTATCCGCCAGTGCAACTACTGCCACATTGGGCTTGAACACCCCGCCCGCAAACCTCGTCGAACACGCTGCCCAAGTCTCAACGGTGTCATTTTGGACTCATCAGCAAATGATTAATTCCTGCGTCTGTCCAAGTGTCCATTGATTCCGTTGACTGAGGGTGGAGTTGGGGAGCAGTTCGTCGAATCCGAATTCGAGTGTTAGTGAAGAGCGTTGCGATTGGTAGGGAGAGGATTGGATCTGGACAGGCTCCCTGGAGCTGGTAGTCGTGCCATTGTCTCATACATACCATACTCTCCTTATGATCCAATGATTCCTTTCTCTTCCGCTACCGTGTCACTTTTAAGAGTCTGACATGCAGAGAAGTAGTTAGATATGTTGCTTAATCTTTGCTAGAAACCATGGGCGTATGGTTTAGAGGTATAATGCCTGTCTTGAATGTTCAAAGTCGAGAGGTCTTCGGTTTGAATCCGGATTCGCCCCATTCCATTTCCACTCAGTGATTATTGAGTTTTTTTTCGTTTTTTTTTGTTGCAGTGTCTGCATGTCTTTTCCATTCGGTTTGGATGAGGTCGCATGCCCGTTTCACCCAAAAAACCTCTGAAATTTCGAATACCCCTATCTTATTATTTAATCTTTTGCTCAGTTGTAATCAGCGCTCAACTGCCCAGCTGCTTCGATGTTCTTAAAATCATACACCGTATTCTTTCTTGCGTTCATCGTGTCATCGACGCTAGTAGCTGCAGCTGTGGTGGATGGGGGTGGATCGACTACGAGTATTACTGTCATTCCGAGAGCGTACGTCTCTCTCTTTCAATTTCGCCGTTTGTACGAGGTTGCTGATATATTTATTAATATAAACCTTCTATCTGCTCACAGAACAACGATACATCACACCGCTACTGCAGCAACCAAAACGTCCATTAGAACCACTGCTCGAGCCACATCTACAGTGACCGCCGCCTCTGGATCCAAGTCAACATAAGGCTCAGTTTCCAGAGGTACCACAACGACTACCTCAGCGCATTCTACCTCATCCTCCTCAGTATCGTTAATAACCAGCGTTAGCACGCGTACAACTGTAACCGTCGTATCTGGTCATACAGTTACGACTCGGATATTCAGTACCTCGACGACTATTGCTAATAGGAACGGTGCTGTGGGTTTGGGCTTAGGGGCGTCAATGAGAGTCCAGGTTCTTATAGCAGGTTCGATTGGGTTGGGAGGCGCGTTGGTGCATTATTTTATCTTATTATAATAGCTATGTTCAGGATTAGGGCGTATCTGAGTCCATGGGAAGTATAGTAAGCCATCGATAACGAATCTGTACTAACGATTACGTCCTTTTTATTTACTGTTCTCTACTACCATGTCGGATGATAAAACAGCGATAATCTTCTACGATATCCCTTTCGCAGAGCCTGGAGTATGCTGGTCGCCGAATACTTGGAAGACAAGGTGTGCAGCGATCTTCGAGGTTTCGATTCACATTATTTAACTGAGCCCTTACTACCATATAGGTATTGTCTGAATTACAAAGGCCTCCCATACAGAACCGAATGGATCGAATATCCCGATATTGAAGCTCTCTGCGTCAAGCTCGGCGCAGCCCCAACTGATGTCAAAGACGACGGCGCACCACACTATACCCTTCCTGTGATATACGATCCAACCACGAACCGAGCCATTTCAGAATCATTCGACATAGCTGTATATCTCGACGCCACGTACCCTTCTACTCCTCGTCTTATACCTGCAGGAATGCAGGGGATCCAATCTGCGTTCATCTCATATGTCATGTCTCGAACTGTTCCTCATCTCGGTCAATTCGCCCGTCCTTTAGTATTCCAGAAGCTTCCACCCGGAAGAAGTCAGGAATACTTTAAACGCACGAGGGAAGCTTCTATTGGAGGCAAAATTGAGGAATGGACGCCCCGAGGAGAGGATCGTGTTCGTGAGTGGAAAGCGGCTGAAAAAGGGCTTATGTTAGTGGAAAAGAGCTACCAGATCGCTGGGAAGGAGACCGGAGGTGGATTTATATGTGGAGAGCACCCGACCTTTGCCGATTTCGCTCTGGCAGGGATTCTTCAGTGGTGCAAAGAAAGCTTTGGCGCGGAAAGTGAGGAGTGGAAAGATATCTTGAGTTGGGAGAATAGGAGATGGGAAACGTTGTTGAACAGTTTGGAGGAGTTTGCATAGGTGTAAGGTAGCTTAGTGACCTCTCGGAGTAAAGTCTAGAATCTTCGAGGATTCTATACCGACATTCTCTAAAGGGGGCTGATTTAGCTTGGGAATCGGGATATATCGGACGTAGGGAATGCAAATGGTTTACATTTCTAGTGCTAGTGAAACCCATGGCTGTAAATGAGTGATAGAGCCAGGCCGCGTTCATAATTCCAGCCAACAACTACTGTTCTTGGACAATCGGCTCCATCTCGAGTAAGAAGCTTCTGGGGAGACTCGTATCAGCGCAGCGAGGTTCAAGAAGGAAGTGCCGATCAAAGCGCTAACAAGCGCCCAGTCCTTACTGCGAGCCACATTGGCAGGTCTAACTTAGTAACTAAATGTGTTCAAGTGTTCAACTCCCCCAGGCCCGTACTTCTCATTATCATTTTTAAACGCCCTTCATTCCATTCCTGTACTCCACATTTAATGCTGCGGCTGCCACACGCCAGGATCTTGCAACGAGCGACGAGCACCCGTAACACGCTGGCCAAAAGTTTGTCAAGTTGTAGTGTATGCGCTCAAGACGCCTTCGTCTTGTTCTTTCTTCCCCTCTTAATCTCGTTCCTCCAAGCCGTTCTTCTGTTTCCTTCCTCTACTGTTTGCTCTACCCATGCTTGCTTGGATCAAGCGCCAACAGTGTCATCAACAGCGGCGCAGCTAACATAGAGTTTTTGACACTGTCATGTCTCTGCGGCATTTACTCATTTGTGCAAATACTGCCTATAACAAAAGCTCGAAATTTCAAACTTGCAACCATTCTCGCAGTCAACGTTCATTGCTCTTTCTTTCTTTCTAAATGTCTGACGACTATTCTAGTCTTCTCCGTAAGTACTTCTGCAATTTCCCTGATAGTGCTTGCAATATGCTTCCCTGTAGGTTCGGAGCAGATGAGCTTGGTACAATTCTTCGTGCCGACCGAAGTTGCTCATGATACCATAGCAGAACTTGGAGAACTTGGAGATGTCCAATTCAAAGATGTGTGTGTCTGGTCTAGTAAAGATATAACAATAACCTTATCATCTTTCATTTCAGCTTAATCGAAATGTTAACCCTTTCCACCGCTCTTTCGTAGGTGAAATCCGTCGTATTGATGAGATGGGCCGTCGGGTGCGCTTCTTTGCAGCCCAAATTCAGCAAGAGAAGGATGTTGTACCCATTCGCCCCTTGGAGTCGGCTCCACTAATTACAGTCGGACCTCGTTCTGCACAAATCATGGATGAGCTTGATGTCATTCTTGCTGCACACGAGCAACGTCTCAATCAAATGAACGAGAGTTATCGGAAGCTGAACGAGACTAACAAGGAGTTAATTGAAGCTCGTCATGTTTTGCGCGAGACCGATGTGTTTTTCGACAAGGTACATCCTCCTATCGTCTTTCCATGGATCTTAACTTAAAATCACATATAATGCAGGCTCAAGACCAACAAACTGACATCAGAGCCTCGTTTGATGACTCTTCTGTACCCTTGCTGCAGCGCGATGACCACGAGAACCAATACTCGTCTGTGGCCGGTGATCAATTCGACTTGGAGTTAGCATTTATATTTATATTCCTTATTTGATTCTATCTCTTACAGTTTTTTTATTTATTACAGATTTGTCGCTGGAACCATTGACCGAGTCCGGGTATCAACTTTTGAGCGTGTGCTCTGGCGTCTCTTGCGTGGAAATATATATATGAATTATGCAGACATTGTTGAGCCTTTCGTCGATCCGCTCACTGGTGTTGAAAGCCGCAAGAACGTTTTCATCATCTTTGCACATGGTGATGCTCTCCTCGCCAAGATTCGTAAAGTCACTGAGTCAATGGGGGCTACGCTGTATCCCATCGATGCAAACACTGATAAACGCTCGGACTCTCTCCGTGAGGTAGAGGGAAGGTTGGAAGATTTGCGAGAAGTGCTTCACAACATGGGATTAAATCGTAGAACGGAGTTAATCAGGATTGGCGAAAGTTTGAGGAGCTGGGAAGATGTTATTAGGAAGGAAAAGTTGATTTACGAGACCCTCAATCTGTTCAACTATGACGTGAGGAGAAAAACCCTCATTGCTGAAGGATGGGTGCCTACCAGGGACATTACGACCATACAGATGGCACTTCGTCGTGCTACGGTACGTTTTACTACATTCCTCAGACTCAGGCGGTCCGACTGATGGTTTTCATTAGGAGGAGTCTGGAGGCAGTATCCCTCCCATTCTACAGGAGCTCCGCACTAACAAGACTCCGCCCACATTCAACCGCACGGACAAATTTACGGAAGGCTTCCAAGCGGTCATGGACAGCTACGGTATCGCATCATATCAGGAAATCAACCCTGGACTTTTCGCAGTCACCACATTCCCCGTCTTGTTTGCTCTCATGTTTGGTGATATAGGCCACGGCTTCATTATCTTTTGCTTTGGACTTTACATGGTACTTTCCGAGCAAAAAGTGGCGAAGATGACTATTTGGAAAGTAGGTGTTTTTGACGAACTCATCCTAGTCAGATCACTCATTTTCTATTTAGCTCATCGGTTTTGAAATCTTCTAGTGAGTGGGATTTTTTATCTTTCCACAAGACGTGTTTTAAGCATCACCTTTACCTCTAGCGGTCGTTATATCATCCTGCTTCTGGGTTTATTTTCCATGTACACTGGTCTGATGTACAACGATGTCTTTTCCAAGTCTCTTCATATCTGGCATTCTGGTTGGGATTTCCCGGATACAGGCTCCAACAAGATTGTCGGTGTCGACAACGGCCACCGCTATCCGTTTGGTATCGATCCTGGCTGGCATGACGCTGACAACAAGCTTTTATTTCTCAACTCGTACAAGATGAAAATGTCTATCATTCTTGGTGTTATTCATGTACGTGATCCTTTTCGAAGCTTCAATTTTGAAATAACATTTCTTGGCTCGTTTCAGATGACTTTTGCTCTATGCTTACAATTCCTAAATCATGTCAAATTCAAGCGTCCTCTCGAGATCTATGCCAACTTTATCCCTCAGATGATCTTCCTGCAGTCAATCTTTGGCTACCTCGCCATCTGCATCTTGTACAAGTGGTGTATCGACTGGTCAAATGCGACCACGCAACCGCCGTCGCTATTGAACATGCTCATCTTGATGTTTTTGTCACCTGGTAAGGTCGACCCTTCGGAGCAACTATACCCTGGACAAGGCACTGTTCAACTCATCTTATTACTTATGGCCTTGGTCTGCGTTCCGTGGCTGCTGTTTACCAAACCATACTTTGTGTGGAAGGAGATGCATCAGAATCGAGAGCAAGGCTATATCAGGGTCACGGGCGACAGTGAAAATCGTCGGGACAGCTCTGATGGCGCCTTAGAGGGTGAAGAGGAAGGTAATGGAAGGACTATTACAGAGGATGAAGATCATACCGAGGTGGCTTGGTTTCTATTTATCCTGGGCTCTAATTATTACTTACTACCTCTACAACAGCAACATGATTTTGGCGAAGTCGTCATCCATCAAGTCATCCACACGATCGAGTTTTGTTTAGGTGCTATCTCACACACCGCTTCCTACCTTCGTCTTTGGGCTCTTTCGCTTGCACACGCCCAACTATCCGAGGTTTTATGGTCCATGCTCGAAATATTCCTTCAGCCCACCGATGTGTTGGGCTGGATTGTGTTAATTTATATGAGCGTATTTTGGTTTTGCCTAACGGCGTTTGGGTTGTGTCTTATGGAGGTATCTTGTTTTTGTATTCCTAACATTACTTCGTTCACTGATCACTTCGCTCCGGAATTCAGGGTCTTTCGGCATTCCTGCATACTCTTCGGTTGCACTGGGTTGAATCCAACAGCAAGCATTTTGAGGGTGGTGGTTATGTATGTGCTCTGATTTTGCTTCTTTTGCTTTTTCTTCAGACATTCGACTCCGATTGCTGACTTGATCTTTACTGAAAGCCCTTCACCCCGCTTACATTTGCAAACCCGGACTTGAAGGAGTAGACTTCGGGTATCCCCTGATATTTGTTAATGCTTTGATCTGTACGTACTTACCGCTTTGGTCTACCAAGTGCACAGAGAATCGGCTCATCACGACTATCGTGACAATGCTGCGCGTAAGATGTACTACGGAATGCCAAGAGCTGCGCTACAGCAATACTGCAGATCGTATCAGTCTTATCACGCGTACATGACGCGTACTGTATGTATACACTGTACAAGACATAAGAGCTCTTATGGACTGACGACAATTGGATAAACTTTCTCCGTTCTCTGAATCCTACGATCCGGTGCTTTGCCGACGACAATCATAAGTATGTACACCCTATTCCTCGTGTTGAAGGCTAAGAAGTTCCAAATTGAGGTAGAACGTTCATACTTGAGTCGGGTCAAGATATCCAGAGTGTACGTTCAGATGGACTGATTGTTGCTGGTTCTATATGCCTTCTTAGCTCAGAGGTAGAGCGTTGCACTTGTACGCTCTTGATATGTGTATGCAAAGGTCAGTCGTTCAATCCGGCTAGGAGGCATGGATAAGCTATCTGATCAGTGTCCTTTTTATGTCCTTTTTATTACAATATTACAAGTCTTCTAGAATCCAGACCATTTATAATTTAGCTATTAGGACAATACATAGTTATATGTCCATGAAGATGCACGTCCTCCCCTACACAACATACTCCACACCTCAGGAAGGGTGTAGCGGTATGGTCCGCTATGGTTTCCTATATGGGTGGACCTAGTTTGCAGGTGCCCGGGTAAATTGTAACAAGCTGATAATAGGGTCAGGTAGCCCAACTGGTTTGACGCCGCGTGCAATTCCGTCGTGTTCCATATTGATTAGTTAATTGTTACAAAGGGCCAGGGCAAAAATGTTAAATTTCGCTAGCAAATACTGAACATGCGATGCAAAAGCAACTTGACTCCAGTGAGGAAGATTCAAGACATGTCACATCTGAGGCATTGACTACTAACGAAAAATGGAAAGAATTTCAACGTTGAAGGGTTAACAACTATGGTTCAACATCAGCAGGGAGGGTTTGAGGTTGGTTTGAGGTTAACTAGCAAGTAGGCCCAGAGATCCAAAAATTACAGTGCAAAAATAAAATCTAATAACTGGTTGTTAAGTATGCCTTCTTAGCTCAGTGGTAGAGCGTTGCACTTGTACGAAAGAGATGTAAATGCAAAGGTCAGTCGTTCAATCCGGCTAGGAGGCATGTTGTGGATGCTGTTGGGCATGTAATTTTTGATTACTTCTTCTCGAACAATACGTACTTGTATCCCATCCCCAATAAACTTCAACCATAAGATGCAAAGCTCAGGAAAGCGATTTTTGCTCCGGATTTCGCTATAGCGCTAGCAAAGATGGGGCTCCAGCAGTTATTGGAGCCAAAGAAAAATCCGGAGGATGCGAGATATCTGTTAGTCGAATATAATGCTAGAAAGGGGAATGTCGTCTCAAAAAGTTTGATGAAAGCATTGAAAGAAGTAGTGGAGGGTGAGGAGGCGTATCTCACAGCTCGCCATTCATACGACTGCGTAACCAGTACTATTCTCATAACGAATAAATACATTATAAGGTCATAATCAGCAAGTCCCGGTAAGAGACAAACGAAAGCAAGGTAAACTGAATAAGTAGAACGATGAAAAAATGGTCTCCAACGTCCATTATACCAGCGTCATAAGGCTACAGATGCTGCAACTAGTCTGTCTATCCTTAAACGGTCCGTCCCCAGATTTCCGAGAGAAGAATGCAACGATAATGTCTGTCTGTGCGCACAACCCTGACGATCTCTTCCCTCACAGCGCTGCAGCTCATCTACTTACATCCCCAAAACCACACCAAGTACCAATCCGCCTCCGATCAACGCCAGCAGACTTGCACCTCCTTCGTACAGTCCCATTCGCACAGCGCCGTTGCCACTAGCTGCACTGGAAGTAGCACTCGGAGCACTGGAAGTCGAGGTAACCGTTACCAGGGCGGCAGAGGATGATGAAGAGGTCGAAGATGTGGAAGCAATTACGGTAGAAGTGATGAATGAGGTGGCCGTGCTGGTGCTTTGTGAGGCGGTACTGGTGCTGGTGCTTGTACCTGTGGTAGTGGATGAAAAGGAGGTCGTCGTAGTGGTAGATGTGGTTGCAGAGTCGGAGGAAGTAGATGTAGTCGAAGAAGATGAGGAATCGGATGTGAATGATGAAGATGATGTTAGACTCGTCGTTTCGCTCGTAAATGAGGAGGTAGAGGCGCTAGTGAAGGATGTTCCGGTAAGTGTAGTTGAAGTTGCCGAAGTCGTGGTGGTAGTTGAAGGAGTACCATTCGTCCTGTGCGCATAGAAAAGCAAAGAGAAGGTTATTGTCAATCGTCGAATAAACCAGGGAACATACGCTGTGCTCGGTATACCACTTGGACTAACACTAATATCTTGAGTAATTACCACTATCGATTGCGAAAGTGCAGCAATGAATGCAAGAGCTATTTTTGCTTTTCCAAAGAGCATCGTCGCGGAGTTGTAATTCGTGTTATTTAGAGGTCGTAAAACGCTAGAGAGTCTTCAGAGAGATGGCTAGAAAAGTGGTAGTTAGGAAGGAAGAATACCATCACGCAACCTCATGCAACACGCATTTTTGGTTTGATGAGCAGTTTCTCCGCAGCAAACTCCGAGTGGAAATATTGAAATTCTGCCGCGTGCAGCCACACACTGGGAGCAGAGTGCGTCGGGCGAAGCTGATGAAGAAAAGTTGAAAGATCGCTTAACTATAAGCGCTCGTGCCATTGCCGTTTTGCTTTCCTCATGTCGGATTACCACCAGACTACCAGACTAATAGAGTACCAACGCTTATGTTCAAATCCATGGGCGAAGCACGACGCAATCTCGGCGAACCTTTTGATTACTGCTCAATCAAATTCCTGCTCATTTTTCATTGCTTCCCGCTGTATCATCAACTTGTCACTTGAATCTCGAAGAAGTGCTGACCACTGGTGCAAGGCTGAGTTTGAAATTAAAACACAAAACTTGCGACTACTGGTACCAACACGTTCAAGTGGCCACAAGTTGTATCCTAAATTTCGACGCGGACTGCGCTCGGAGTCATTGCCTACTGAAGATATGTGGCTCCTGCGACTGGAGGGACTATTGTTCTTTCGGAATTTTTCTTGCTGAATTACAGAATAAATATCTCAAGAATAGCAGGTTCACGAAAACACGCTGACCAGCATCAAAATTTCAAGCGAAATCAGAGCCAATCATCTCTTACTATACGGCCTGTCCAAAGCGGAACTGAGGACCAGCAACTATCGCTGGAACGGAGAGCCGGCCTTTTTAAGTCAAGGACTAAGATATAGTATAATCGGGCGTAGATTATCTGGAAGGAAGCGAGGATGTTTATAAGAGCGTCAAGATGAGAGTCGAAGTGAGTAGGAAGTGTCAAATGCGGCGAACAAGTTCAAATGAGTACGAGCGAGTTTTTTTTCCTCTTTTCTATTTCGTCGTACTAACGAACTCATGCGCAGCACCAACGCTACTTATTAAGAACCTTAAATAACTCGCTCAGACTGTCGCTGGCCGACCGCTGGAGCCAACTTAAGAGTCAGTTCTTGAAAGCAGCGAGCCACCACTCAGCGCCCATGAGTAAGTATTAATCAATCTCAGAATGCTTCACGGAATTCTAAACGTATTACTCGGCAGTCCGAAAAAACCAAGGAAAAGCCCGAGTTGTATCAACACTTACGATATACCACAAGATATAGGCGGTATGCATTTTGTCGGTGTGATAGTGTTTCCGAAATCCATTCTGATAGGAAGGAAGAACCAGCTAGTCTTCGGGAATACTCCGTTGGTTTTAATTACGCGCCACAAGATATAAGATATACACTTTGTTGGTGTGATAGTGTTTGCGGCATCCATTCAAGAAAGGAGGAAGAACCAGCTAGACTTTGGTAATACATATAGCTGAGTGTCGTTAATGTTTCATCTCATCCCAGTCTAATCGCCGGAAGAACACTGCACCTAACACCAAATATACCTCAAATCGCTTTCATGGAAACCCAATAAGGCTTGAGGGAGTAGAAAATTCGCCGGAATTCTATGTAGCTGTGGGGCTACGAAGCCGATGTTCAAGGATATTCTTCAATACGCAGACTGCAGCAATATATCCTATAAAAGCCAGCCATGCTAAGAAGCTTCGGAGTGCGCTGAAAGCCTACGAGTAATCATGTTCAAGATGCTAGTCTCGACATCATTCTTCACCTATTTGTTGTCCTGCATCCATCCTGACAATGATGCTGCAGTTACTGCATCGATCGGACAGCCAGTAATGTCCCTTCAGAACCAGGGGCAGGTCTACACGGGTGGAGTGTGAGTGTTTCTTCATAGAGTATCTCGAGAATGATGCTCATTTTGTCACTCGCAGGGCCACGTACTTCCTACAGTACGGGGCTGCAGGTAAGTATCTTCCAAGCATATTATATGACGGTGGATACTTATGTACATTATAGGGGCTTGCGGTAAAGTTCACAAGGACACGGACCTCATTGCAGCCATGGATCAGGCCCGCTACAATTCCAAGCTCTGCGGGAAAGAAGTCAAGATCACAAATACCAAGAATAAAAAGGTCTGTGATTCAATCGACTCGACCTCAATTAAGGCTCGCGGCACTACTCAACCGGTCCTTTCATAGACTGTTACTGTTACTGTTGCGGATGACTGCCCCGGATGCAAAAACGAGAATTCGATTGATTTGTCTAAGGGAGCTTTCCTTAAGATTGCAACGATAGAAGAAGGCGAGGTCCCAAGTGAGTTTCACCCAAGTTTTCTCCTTGAAATCTATCTGACCATCTTGAAACTACAGTCAGTTGGGAATATGTATAAGTGGGGAAGGAGCTCAAAGACTAGAGAGGTGAATGCGACATAAGTAGAAATAGCGCTGCACGTCGCCGTCTCAAATAATTCGGTGTTAAACAATATGTATGTGAGACACCTTGAACGGCGGGAGTCAGAAGTAGGCTTAATCGCTGCAAACCATGATCAGACCAATTGCAATTCGGCTCAAAAGGCACAGAGTCCTTCCGCAGAATCAGTCAATTTCTCTTTGGGCCTACTTGTGAAAAAACCTCATATGGACTGGATCGACCATTGTAAAAAAATGAACAGACGGTTATGAAGAAGGTTGAAAAGGAAAAAGAAAAAGAAAAATGGGGCGAATCCGGATTCGAACCGAAGACCCCCTGCAAGGAGTTAGCTGAACACCACCCAAAGCAGGTATCATACCTCTAGACCATACGCCCGTGCAATCCAATGCTCAAATATAAAATATAAATTGGCTTTGGACGTGATTATACAGGCCAAAGAAAACAGGCAGACAGCAAGTTACAGCAAGTTACTGGACAAGAAAAGAGCGCGAAATATTTCTTACGCATACAACGGGGACATGATAATCATAGCCGTAACAACTCCCGCATATATCTTGGAGACAACTTCGATACTCGTAAAAAACTAGAGTACTTGAAGAAGTCGAAGACAGTATCGGCAACTTGGACCATACGCCCATACTTGGCTCCATTACAAGACGGTAGATATACAAAGATCTAGACATATCCAATCTGTTAGTTCATACAAAGTCAGTGAGGAAGTGATTATAAGAAAGAGAGAAAGAAGCTGAAATAGACATCGGCCAAAGATACTCTACAGTAGAAAAATTTAATTCATAACGTCCCATTCCAATTCACCCTCCTAATCTCCGCGCGGCGTGTACCGTCTCCGCTTAGTACCCGCCGTCCCTCCCTCCGAATCACCCTGACCATCACCATGAACAAACTCCACGTCGTCCTCTTCCGCATCCTCCTCAAACTCTTGTTCCTGATCCTGGTCCTGGTCCATAGCGTCTTCGGCTTCAAGCATATCGACATCTATAACCTCATGGTATTGATCGTCATCCTCCTCATCACGATCGCGAATCAGTTCCATAGGGTCCATCTGGGAGGAGAGATTCCTCGCATGTCCGCGTCCTCGCCGACCCATACTACCACTTGCACCCCCAGAACCCGAAGGACCTGGACCCGAAATCTGAGGTTCGACATCCGTCTCGGCACCAGCTGCATCTAGAGCCTGAGCTGCACGTTCACGCGTAGCGCGTGCTCGAGATTGTGCTTGTGCTTGTCTCAAGGTAGTGGCCTCTACTACCTCCACCTCCGAGTCATCCCCTGCATCTAGTACTGTGTTTACTGCCGCTATGGCTACCACAGCAACTCCGTCTGCGTTCGATGCCACCAACTCAGCTCCCTCCGTACCTCCCGCTCCGTCAATTAAACCCAACATTAAAGCTTCATCCATCTCATCATCTTCCTCCGCATCCACTTCGACATCCTCCTCCAAATCCGCAAATGTCCTGCAAAGTGGACAGCTAAAACCGGGGAAATGTTTTTCGACAAGGGGGCGGATGCATTTGTAATGGAATGTGTGAGAGCAAGGTGTGATGAAGAGGGCTTGGCGGATTGAGATGGGGAATAGACCTATTAGGAATGAAGGGAAAACGTCGCAGGTTAAATTCAGATACCGGAAGATAAAGGGCGACGTACATATACAGCAATCCGGCAAAATGCTCTTCGTGGACGCCTGACCCTTGACAGCTCCAGCGGTAGGGCCAGCGACAGTCTGAGCGAGTGATTTAAGGTTCTTGATGGCGTTGGTGCTGTGCATGGGTTAGTACGACGAAGTAACCAAGAAAAGAGAAAAGCTCGCTCGTACTCACTTGAACTTGTTCGCCCCATTTTGCCATTCCCTGCCCACTTCGACTCTTATCTTGACGCTCTTATAAACATCCTCGCTCCCGCCCTGATAATCTACACCCAACTGTACTATATCTCCGTCCTTGACCTGAAAAGGCCGACTCTCCGTTCCAGCAATACTAAGCCTGACATGATTCAGGAACGTGCCTGAACTACTCTTGGTATCTTTAATGAAGAATTTCACGTTGGAAGCTCCAGCGCCAGAAGATTCGACCCAAATTTCCGCATGGGCTCTGGAAACAACTTTGGATTTAAACGCCAACTTGTTCGAGCCTAAAGCGTTAACAGCGTTTACGCCCAGTCCACTACGATCAGTGAATCGACCGATACGAAGTGGAGGAGACGAAGGTGATAGGTCCCGAGTTATGGCGTCGAATTTCAGCGAACGACGGTTTTCGAGATGAGGAACGAGACGGATTCGGTGCATCCCGCGCGCTGGGGGAGCAAGGTGGGCATGGGCAGAGTGAGTAGCGTTATTGTTGGTGATAAAAGGATTATTGGAATTCGAGTTGTTACTGGCTGGTGGAGCCGGACGAGATGCTGATGCTGGTCGAGGCGCTGGCGCTGCTTGCGGTTGGGCTACAGTACCAGCAGATCTTCTCCTTCTAAGAAATCCTAGCCCACTCCCAGGTACACTCTGTGACGTCGCTACCGCTTCAGGAATAGGTGAAGTTGCATTGTTGGACGCTGCGATCGCGACAGCGCCTGCTCCTGTCAATCTCCGTGACTGAGGAGGTTGCGGAGAAGGCGACATCTCTCGTCCCGCTAATTCTGCTGCTGTGGGATTAGGGCTTGATTGGGAAGGATTTCGTGGTGGCCTTCCTCGACCGAGAAAAGAGTTGAGAATCGTGGAACGTAGTGGCGGCGAGTCGGTAGAAGTAGTGGGGTCCATATTGCGTTATTAATTAGAGATAATAGTCGTAAGAATCTTCTTATCCTTTTGCAGTACTAGTCAACCCACGGCGGCGACACAGGTGACTAACGATAGCTTAGGAAACCTGTTAAAAGACACAAAAATGCTGGAGAAGATTTTCAGACATACGAAATGAACCTATCGGCGTTGAGGATCCTGTTTCTCTGGGTTTCCAAGTTGTTTCCAAGGGCGATCTTGCTAGTCGTAAATGGGAGCGCAAGTTCAAGTTGAATTGACGCCCGTCATCAACATCAGCGCTAATTGTCTTCTTCCCCACGACCATTCTCCTCGATCGATGCTAGCAAACCTGCGGGGCTCAAGTCTTCCCTTTCACTGAACTCTGTATCCCTTGCCTTATTAGACGCAGAACTTGCTTGTCCATAGATGCTCCCAATTGCGAGAAAATATTCCAATTGCATCGAGTTAATTTGTTCAAATCTGGGCAATTACGCGTTCAAAACACAAAAATTAGGCAACCCTCTAAGGATATTAAACGGACAACGCTGAAAGCGGACTTGATGGCCTTTTATCCGACTCACTAGGATCTCAGACTTCAGTTAACTGGTCTATTGCCTCCTATTGCATTTCAAAGTCTGCGGATGACTTGCTTTTCAAGAAGTAACGTAGCTTTGGATGGCTGTGGCGCTGACGACGAATAGGTTCGATGCCAGCTTGACAAGCACTCCATTTGATTCACTGCCCAGATATTCCCAATATGGTGTAGTACCGGAGCCTGGCCACTGTACTTTTACGAATTTGAATGTATTTCTGTCCTCGTTTAAGGTTCATACCACTTAGCCATTCTCTATCGTTGTTTCCGGTTCATGATCATCTAGCCACCTGTTGATCTTCTCGTAGACCTTCCTGCCCCCTGAGCAGCTCCACTCCATCTGACAGATGGTACTTCAACCTCTCGCTCCACCCAGATATGAGGCAGTTCAATGCACGCTCTTCAACAACTCAATAGAATGTGGTTCCCTGCAAGTTTCGACACTGTGTTTAGGTGCCGCGGGTTTCTGATAATCCATGGTCTTTACAATCTGGAATCTGGATCACACGTAAATCTGTGCTTGAGCTCTGATATGGAAGCTATACATATTACATGTAAGACAGTATATAAGTACCATTGAAAGAAAGCCTTCACATTTCCTCCATGTCATCTACCACATCCAACTTTGACTTTTGGGATGCTTATCTGCAAGAACAATTTCTCTGGGCCATAATACCATGTATAGTGAATGAAAGAAACCACATTTCATAATTCTACATTCTCACTAACTGACTTTGTTCTACGTTTGGATTTCAGATTGAAATATTTTTATATGGTGCGACCTTTACTAACTTGCTGTATAGCTTTGAGGGTTTACCAGAGGAAATGAACAGGCATTTTTATAGTGCTATTTTGCATCAGCATATACATTTTTAAACACAGGTTTACACCTGGTAAATTGTATATCGTTGCAACCTTTCTCTTCTTCATATCGGCCAGTATATCTGTTGCACTTGATTTAACTTACAGATGTCTGTCAATGCTGGATACAATTACTCTCATTGTGGCAGATTCAAGTGCCGCACCAATTTTTCTTCCTCTGAATGCAAGTGTGATTGCACTTGGGTCTGCTCCTGATTATATCTTTCTTCTTGCTGGGTACCTCTATATATAAAACACTTTAATACTGCCACTTACTGGATTTATCTAGCTTGCTAGGTGATATCATGCTGGTAAGTACCAAAACCTTGCATAAGTCTGATTACTTGCCCTCATAATCAATCAATAGATGCACCGATGTTATCGTTTATGGAATTCAAGGAAGCGTGTTATTATTCTTCCTGGAGTAGGTCTTCTAGCAACCATTGGTGAGTATTTAATGTTAAAACGGGGTTGGCTTTACTTATCTCTGTTTTGTTGAAGTCGCCGTGATAGTTCTTCAAGTGTATGCTCAAAACAAACCGGGACTTCAAGTGCTGGGGCTGGAGACTTATTATCCTACTAATACCGCCCAGGGAATTCACCTCCTCTTCGATGTATATATCATCATAACGTTCATACAAAACATAATTTTAACAGGAATGATAGGTCAGTCAAATACTAAAAATTAGAAGATGGCTTTGATAACAGAATTTTTATATTGCAGCTGGAAGAGTTTGGTGGTTGAATTATAAGGTACAGAGGATGTTGCAATTGGCTGGCCAACCAGCTAAAAATGCTTCTCAAGATCTTCTTGGGCCTATGTATGTCTGATGTCATGATTCATGAATCACCTTTTTGATTACTCTTTGACATTAATCTTGCTTCATTTCCTTGTTATTGTCAGCCTTGAATCAGGTGCCCTTACACCAATATTTCTCCTACTGTGGATGGTTTTAAACCTCAGAGCCTCCTTGCTTGATAGTGGCAACTGGTACTGGAATTACCTGATATCTCCCTGTATTCTAACAGAAATTGTGGCAAGTAGTCTCCTGCTTATATACAACTGTGAGCTTATGCCTGTGGTTCTCATATTCCATTCTACAGGGCATAGCATCCACATTGATTGTTGTGCGCATTGGGCTTGGGGCTGATGCTCTTGCTTCTCAGTCTCATTCC